AAAAAATATTATATATATATATATATATATATATATATATATATATATATATATATTAAATTGTTTTATAATTATGCCCTCATAGGATATAGTACCTTTTTTATATTCGTTTACTTTTGATAAATTTTCATCTTGAATATATGATAACAAAATTTATTGATAAAAGATTGAATATTTTATTAAGACGTTTTTATAAATTATATTAAATTCATGCAAGGACATATTATATCTTTGAATAACATCTTTTGCATAAATCATATCAATGTATATCGCCAATCGACATGTTGGTAAATAATAATCCAATCTGAAAACTTTTGACCGATTGGTAACATAAAATAATTATTTGGCTTGCAATAAAAATATTTATTTTTTATTTATTAGATATTTATTTAAAATATATTTGTGAATATTTTAAAATTTCATGAATATACGTGATATTCACGAATAATTAAAATATGTAATTTATGAATTTTTAAAATAAAATCTAAATAAAATTTGAAAAAATATAAAATATAACATAAATTTAAATTAAATATAAAATTAAATTAAAATTTAATTAAATTTAACTTAGTTAATTTTAGTTTTAATTAAATTTAACTTAATAAAATATAAATTAAATTTTAATTTTAATATTTTTGCGGATAATGGATATCCATGTTCGTCGTATCTCACTCATTTATAAACAGGTTAAAATATTTAGTATTGTTAAAATAGGTTGAACTCATGAGTCAACCCAATCCACCACAAGTTTTGGTCGATTGGACTAAAAAAATGAAAATTTTGGTACATAGTAATTTTGAACTAAACTCACTAATAATACTTCTTAACCGGATTGAACTCATGGTGAGCCAGGCTGGCTCTTCAACCCATCTATTTTTTCTTTTTTGGTGTTTGCTTTTGAATTATATTTGAAGTTTAAGATGACTTTGGATTGTATTACATTTTTTTTATTTTGCATTGTCTTTGTGATTTAACATCATTTTAGGTTGAAATTTATTTAAATTTAAATTTTTAAAAAAATTTATTTTTCTAAAATTGAAAAAAAAAAAGTTTGTCAATGAACAAATCCATGTAACCCACCAACCTCTGGTGAGTTAGGTCAAGTTCGAATTTTTACGATTCGCTAATAAGTGAACTAGGTTACGTTAACTCACTAAGTTATCAACTCGTGGTGAGTCAAGTTGGATTGAACAGATGATTTGTTTTGACAATACTAAAAGTATACATTGTCTCAGATAATAAATATTCGCGAGTATCAACTATTCATTACGAATTTTAACCGTAGATACCCACAAATACTAAAAATAAATACATAAATTATATAGTAAAAACATGTAAGACTTTGTCATACACAACTCAGATGGAAGATTGTATGGAGTGACAATCATAGACCAACCAGAATATGGTTATGAGGATTCTTGATTATATGAAATAAATTCATCCAAACATAGACCAAATCGCACATTAGTGTGAATGTTTGTGCTACCCTGCATGGAACTTGAGAACCCTGCATACATAAAATCACTCAAATACTTATCCACATTGAGGTTCGTCGACAAAACAAGATCATTCGATTTCAAATTGGAATACGAAACCCAAACGTTTAACCCTTTGCTCGATCCATCAAACTCAGTCCACACATTAATTAGGTCATCGCTCCTTAGATTGATTCCAATGCTCTTCAAATCACCAACCTTAAACTTTATGTCCATAAACGTATTAAACACTACGAGAATAAACCTATCGCCATTGTTGACAAGATATATAACAATAAATGTTTGTTACAAAACTCGTTCCCTGTTATTTTCACACTCTTTCCAAAACCCTAGCTTTATTCGTCTTGAAATCCCTGATTAATCATGGTCATTATGCACTAAATCTTCAATTATTATGCTAACAAAGCTCAACAATTAACCAATTTCATATAATAAAATAATTCTCAATTTCACATGACAAAATAATTCACATTATCATGTTTACATTTACACAATGGTAACTATTTAAACTTATTTATTACACATTTTAAAAATAGAAACTCAATTAAAATTACTTAAAATTTGATAACTAAATTAAAATTTCAGTATTAATATGATATCATACGAGGAGGATTTTAACCAAAAGTTAACCAATAATTATAATAAGAAAGGAAAAAACATTAAAAATAATAAAATAGAAAAATAAAAAAAATACTTCTACAATTATGTATAAAATACCAACAAAATAATGTAATAAAATGGAAAAATTATAATAAAAGTATAAAATAAAATGTGTTAAAAATAATATAACGAGTTACAAAAAGAGTATGTTGTACTGATGTAAAAGAAATGAAAAATCAAATTAGTACAATAAAGAATAATAAATAATCACAAATTTTATAATAATTTTCAAAATAATATCTTCAATTTAAAAACTATGTTTTGAAAGTTTTTAACATTAAAGAAGAAAACAATAATGATTAACAAAAGCATTAATAACGGATGAAATTATTTTATGTAATTGACCATATTTCATTTCAGACTGAAACGAAATGAATTGCTATTATTTTTTACTTTATTTGATAATTTTATTTAAATGGTGTAAAAAAATTGTCTGGTACATATGATCACAGTGATAAAAAAATTAGGATCAAAACTGTTTCTGTTATTAAATATAATCTTAATTTTTCTATTTAATTTCACCGTTGTATAGTTATTATATATATCACTTTTTTTAACCTTATACTTTGGTAGGTTAAATTTGTCTTTTCGTACTCCTGTTATGTCAAGTGACTTACTTACGTTTTTTTTCTTCAACACTTATGATGTTCGTTTGGAGGGAAAACACTGTTCACGGGAATTACCGTGAACGGATTTCCAAAAATAAGGTCGTTCGTTTTGGTGGATTTGTGCGGATTTGGTAAGACAGATATTCGTTGATTTGCGGGATTCCACTGTTCAGCTCATCTTGCAAATGTGTGAGGATTTGCAATGATTTACGAGAGAAAGACTGATATACCCATTTGCTTCAGCCAAAAATAACACATTAATAACCGGTTACAGCAGAGTGTAACCGATTACAGAGAAGAAGAATTTAGAAGAATTTTGCTTGTACACGCGTAACCGGTTACGCGAACGTGTAACCGGAATATATATTTTTTCAGTTTTTTTATAATTATTTTAATATTATAATTTAAAAAGATGTACATTTTAATAAAATTAGGTATATTATATTTTCTAATTTATTAAAAATAAGTTGATTATTTAATTTTTATAATTTTTAAACATTAATTTTATAAATTATTCATAATTGTTTTTTATAAACATTTTTATAATTAAATATAACATTTTATATTACTTTTATAACTAGGGGCATTTTGGTAATCTTTAATTTCTAGCAATTAAATTAATTTTTAAAATCTATCACATCGATCAAATCCTACACTAATTCTCACAAACTTTACTCCCAAATCCACTCTCAATTACCCACAAATCCACTCAAAAAAACAACTAAAAAATTACCCTCAAATCCACTCAAATCCATTCAAATCATCTCTCCCAAATCATGTCCCCCAAATCTATCCAAATGAACACAGCTTTAATAAACACAATGCATTCGCTTTTCCCTCTCTCTTACTCTATATACATTTGTTCTTGCAATATAATAATATTCGTACGACTATAACTAATGTCAATGTTTGTTATCAAATGGAATTTTCTGAAAATTAATCATTGCCAATTCAAATTCTAGAAACCAGCTTGATGAAATATTTATATATAATGTTTTATTCTCCATTATATCTATATTTGTTATGAAGTGATTTTATTTTAGAGGATTAAACTTAATATTTATATTAATTTTAATTTATATATGATGCTATTTTATTTTTACTGAGTTAAAATTTTATATTTGTATAAATTTAATTTCATGTATTTAAATTAAATTATTTGTGTTTTAAATTTGAAAACGTAGTGCCGGGGCCCACACTTTCACTTTATTAAATGTAGTTATTTGTCTCGCACATGTCACGATAAGGTTGTTTGTTTGTATGAATTGCATTGGAAAAATGGTTTAATACTAGAATAACAAATACTGAAATTAAAGTAATTTATATGGTTATAAATAATATATATATACATTACATTCTCCATTTTTTTTTATAAATGTTCATTTTTCTAAAATCAGATTCTTTAACTTCTCCAACAATTTAGAGATTATTTCCTTGTTTTTCAAGAGTAAATATTTAAAAAGAAAAGAAAAGAATAACTATTAATAAAAAGAAAAATAAATGATAGACATAAAAGAAAAATATAGATTAATTTGGTTATGCTTGAATGTCGAGTTCAATCCAATCATGAATTATTCCATCGTTTTTTTTTAAATTCAACATAAACATACATTTTTCCTATTAACTTATCATGAAATTTATTATTAGCCTATCAAAAAAAGCAATACTAAGTATAGAAATATACTACACTAACGCACTAAATTATGTGTAGAAACCAAATCAACTAATGAGAAAATGAATTGGAAAAGATATCACTTAAATGTCCCTGATTTCTGAATGTAAAAGGAAAACTTTTCATAAAGAGCTTGTAGATACAACTTCTTTCAAGAGCACTACATTTAATAAAACTGAAAAGATGTATTTTAAAACTACAGAGAATCTTGAACAACTCTTAGAGACCTTTTTAACACATGTATTAACGTAAAAAGTTTGTTTTAATTTTGTGAGAAATTCTTATCAATATATAATTGAGAAATAAGATTAATTGATATCATTTATGATAACAATTATATTGTTTTTATTAAGATATGAAATATACTAAAAACAATTTAATTAATTATTCAAAACAATAATTTATTATTTGCACAAACAATATTAGAAAACTTTTAAATATATATTATATTTTCAAATAATCGATTATCATTTTATAATAATTTCACGATAATCGGTTATCTTTAAACTCAATTCTCTTCTTAATTATGACCATCTTAAAATAATCAATTACATTTCTCTCAAATCAAGTTCGTGCATCTTTTTAGATATATAGAAATTTTATTGTTTATTACATAAATCTTTAGTCATATTTCAGCTGTGTTCTTATTTTTATACGTTAAAAAAATAAATATAGTTTTGTTTAAAATTAGCAAATTTATTTGTTAACGTCAGTATTTAGTAAAGAAATTTGTTTTAAGATTATATTTAAATAATTATAAAGGGGGCGGAGGGAAAACCGAACCCGCTTTAATTGGTTTCTGGATCCCTCCATGAATGAATATAACTTCCTCATGTTTCAATGTTCACAAAAATAAAATGGCAATATGATATATGTTACAATAGATTTACAAAGTGAACAGAAAGTTAGTTTTCAACGGCCAAAACCAAACCATAAATTCTACGAGATGACAAACATATATATCCAATGCTTCCACAAAAATATTTATGAAGAATCTGTATTTTGCTGCTCGGTTTTAGCCAACTTTGCTCGTATAAGTTTGTCCAATATGGGAGGCTCCAATGGAACCGGATCTAGGCACCGTTCTGCGGTGGCAACAATCACCTACGCCCAAAAGATACAAAAATATAAATAAGCACAACAGATGCATAAGCTATTAAGAATTAAAAGAAGCTAGGGCATACGGATGAGTTCAGAACAGGGGGAAAAGAAAACTGCGTGACATCACCATGAAAACTATGTTTAAGAGAAATTTTCCTACCTCATCAAGCAAGAAGTCGATTGCAGCTTCATCTTCAACTATATCCCTTAAAGGGATCCTTAGGAACTGGATATCCACTTGAATTTGCTGGAATCCACTTCGGTTAAAAGTCTGGAGTCGGGCAAATTCTTGTAAACTTTTAAGACACAATTTAACTAAAGTTGTAACAACAGACTCCTGCGGCCCATAAGGAAAATGATATCAGGGCTCCCTCCCAACCAACTATTCACATTTAAGTCTCCAATATAATAGTCACAAAATACCTGTGTATATTCTACTTTGTTAAAAATTTCAACTTTTTGCTTAAACAACTTTGCCAGATGCGTTTCCAAAAGCTGGCTCCTTGCCCTTTGAGTGTTTGACCTACCCAGTTTCTCTTCCCGTAATGGGTTGCTCCTTGAGGAAGCACTACTTCCATTACTATCAGTCCTGCGGTGCTTACGTCTACCTTGAGGCAATATCTGCTTCACTTCCTTAACTATACCTTCAAGCTGGAACAAAAAGAAAATAAAGGAAATTAAAATTTCCTCCAGTTTGCTTCAATTAAAATTTGATCTTTAACCAAAGCGAACAGTGTTGTGTAATCCACAAAGTCAACCTCGCCGAATGGAATAAGATTTTTTTTATTGTTGTGCTTCAATTAATTACAGAATATTCTCATCACATAGACAAATGTAAAGCATCATGCTCATTCATTATATTCCAGATTTAATATGACTAGTATTCAACTGCGACGCTTAAACCATTCAGTGCAAACTTAAAAGACACATAAAAATGTGGTTGATCTTAAATATATAGATATACCAACCTCTTGAAGAAACAGATCAACAAACATATGAACTTCTCTTGGCTCTTTATGCTGTGTAAAGAAAAGAAAAAATTCCAGATTCAAGCTCTTTCAAAGACAATCAATCACCAAAAGACGGATACAACAGACTGACCTTAACCCAATTAGGGGTGGTAAACCTCTTCTTCAGGAGAAATGATATCCTCTGAGTTCTCATATTTACGTACTGAAAAAAAAAGTATAGGGAAACACTGTTCAATTTGAAAAATTTTAGATAATAAAAAAAATAGAGAACTTGTAACGGATCAGGCACAGATAACTGGAGATTAAATATCCACCAAAACCGGAGAACTCAAGAAAGTGTACTACGAAACAAAGAAAGTGAAGTAAAGCTCGCTAGTTCGCTTATAAGAAATGATCCCAGAACATCAAAGCAAAGCCATAGGAGCTATCCATCCTTAATAAATTCAAAGGACAATCAAATATTCTAGAAAACACGACCATTTTACAATCAAATGCACCATACGTACATAGGATTACAAAGTCCACTACCAGTCAAGTAAAAGCCAAGACAAAAATCAACAAAAGCCACAGAAGAAATTAATAAGAACTGCTCAAAACTCAGTTGTCAACATTCCTGAAAAAACTAATACATCGTTCCACATAAAATTAAACGACAGTGTAAAACTGAACAGGCAGCTAAAGTAGTCAGTTCATGAGAGAAAGCTCACAATACATAATGTAACAACTGCATCATTTCCAGGTTTTGAATGGGATTGTATTTCACATGCAAACAGACACTGTCAACAGGCTTAAATGGTCAATCACATTGGAACTCATCTTTTCCATGCAAACATAAATATTATCTGGTATTAAAATCAAGCTGAAAAACACTAAACATGCTTTAGGCATTACCTAGGGACTGTATGAATAAGAATGAGTGACATACGGACAAGGACAAAACTAGTCATCAATTGCAATTTCATTAAAAGCAAAATATGAACTTAAAAACGTACGAAGTGCAGGAACTTTTCACCAGCTGACCGAAATTTTCGACATATTTCTCCAGGAACAAAGGCAGGTCCAGATTCATGACCTCTAATACTACCCCCAGAAAAGGAAGAAGCTATTTCCTGAAGATTACAAGGAAAACTTTTAGGTATACCCAGAGGATCTGAAACAAAAAGCAACATAGTGAAATTCCAGGAATGGAATTATAAGTCTATAAAGTGAACCCTTGCCTCGGTGACTTTTGGGATGACAGTTTGTTCAATGAAAGCAGACAACTGGGCCAGCACAAGGACAAGGCCAGCAAAAGCTTTATCCCCTTGAGCACCCTCTGCCAAACCGTGTGCTTGAATAGATGAGTTACTTCTACCTGATAATAGAAGGAACTGATCCTCCATTTTCGTAAAAAAGTCCTGAAGTCCTTCTTGAACCCAATCAATAATTAACTCTCTTAATCTAACTACGATCCCAGAGTTTTCATCTAAAATTTTGCGGAAATCCTGAAGGAGAGTGATTAAATGTAAATCAAATGACATAAAACGGAAATGGGAGAAAATCTCAATGGCAATACATGCATGATGTATACATAATTGCATATAAACTTGGTTAGAACAATCTAAGCATAAAAACGTGCTTACCAACAAGACATTCAAGCTTCCTTGAAGAACTGATTTTGTACTTGCATCAAGAACAACATCAAGAGAGCACTGTTCTGCACCATCCTTTTTCAGGATTTGTAAGAGGGAGCCTACAAAACAGATGCTATCTCAGTGTACATTTAGGAAGACAACTTTCTAAAATTTTTCCAGTAGCCAAAACCATGTGAATACATAATAGAGCTATTTTTACAAGTGAGGATAAGCAACAACGTAATTTATAGCATTCTATGCTTCTGATCATTGTAAAAAAAATAAAATCTGTCACATTGGTGCAATCATCTAACTAAGATTTTTAATTTCTTGATTCTCCTACAAGGTAGGGAAAGTATTTTAAACTTTAAGCTGAAACCTAATATCAGAAACATTCTGATTACAAGTCAAAGAACTAACCTGAGATGTCTTGCAGAAGATGAGAAAATGCACTTCTAACAAATGACATGAGGACAACCTTTGCAGCCTGGAAATATTTAGGATTAGTTGATTGAAATTAACTTTTTAATGATTATATTCTAAAAATATGCGAAAGGAGAAAATTGAATAGCTTCAACTTAGGTGAACGAAAAAAGATAAATGGATAACCTCAAGAGAATGGTTTGAGAGAGCTGCTTCCTGCAAGACTTCATCTATTAGGAGCACATCATTCCAGATAACTCCTGTAATTACAAATTTAAAGAAGTTTTGAAACTGGTTTAACAATTATTCCCTTTGTTTCCTTTGAACTATCTAAATTTTGAAAGATTTTTGTTTTTATTTAGCTTTCTTCTTCAAATTTCAATACAATACTAATTACTCTTTTCTCATTTATACATTTACTCTTCAACCAATCTTGTATTAGATTACGTATATGCATTTATTGCAGCATAGAAATGAAAAAGAGTAAAGTAAGAAATCTTATAAATTTTTATCAAGATCGAGAAAATTTAAAACATTTATTGATTTCCCCAAAACAACCTTAACCATAAGTTTTTTTTAACTACACAAAACATAGGGAGTGAAGAAAAGTGAAGAAAAGTGAAGAAAAGTGAAGAAAAGTGAAGAAAACTTGAAAACAAAACCTTAAAAAAGGGAAAACTAAACAAAATTTCATACTTAACTTTCCCGACGAAAGTTGAAAATTTTGAACATAATAATTATGCTTAGGTACGTTTTATTATAATCTAATAAATAATTAAAATGAATAATATTATAATAATAAGTAAAACAACTTAAATATTAACATTTTATAAAATAAATTTTAATATTTAGTAATTGATTTTATAAAACATTAAATTTAATCAATTAAATTATAAATTAGTTTTATTATATTCTAATTTTTTAAATTGATAGGTAGAAAATAGATAGAAAATAATTATAATTAATTATTTAAATAAATTAAATATAATTTTAAAATAATTTTTATATTATTTTCAATTTTATAAAATAATTATTTTATAACTAATTATCTTTTAATTTTAATTTACATTTATTTTAATTAAATTTTAACAAGAGTGCGTTGGTAATTTATTATACTTTCAATTAATTTTATTTTTATTTTTATTTTTTTACATCAATAAACTTAACAACAACCTTGTTATTCATGGTTCTCCCCTTTCACACTCTCTTTTCTTCAATTCAAACATCCTCACCTTCCACTCTCTTTCTCCTTCTTTCTTTCCTTTTCCATTCCATCCCCAACAAAAAAAAAAACGTAGAAATGACACTAAAAAGGAAACGGAGAAAGTAAAATAATATAAATACAAAATCTTGACAAGTTTAAGAGAAAAAGAAAAGGTTCGGACACATAAATTACTGAAAATTAACACAAGGGTAAATGGGGAAAACAGGGTCAAGTGCTTCCTATTGTATTAAACAGGGCAAATGGAATTTAGCTCTTCTCTTTGGTATAGCTCTTTGCCAAGATGTATTAAGGTGAATGCACTCATTAGCATCTTGAAAATATTTCGCAAAAACATATCCATATTACTGATTAATATTATAGTGGTTCCAATGGATTAAATACTGAAACCACATAAGTAAGAAACTTTAATTTATCATACATAACACAATCTATGAGATGAATATATAGCCAAATACAAATGGAGATAATGACGAGTTTCTCCTTATGGTCCAAATATATCATCTAAAATACATGATTAGAAAAACACTCCATTGCAATAAATGATATCAAAAAGACATAACCACATGAATGCATATAGGCAGCACTTTTTTTTTATCAGAAAATGTAAGTTGTTAGTATTTTGTTAATATAAAGACACACAGACCTTTTCAATACATTTGGACGCTTTGGGAAAAAACTTAGTTACATTATATAAGCATTTTTGTATAAGTTGTTTCTAGAATTATTTTCATAAGTCATCCTTGAAAGCATATCAAGATAAGCTGAAAACAACTAGGAACATATCAAACACTATTTTCATAAGTTCTACCATACAGTGTTTATGTGTTCATATTGATAAGCAGTAAATAAGGCCCACTAAGCACAACTTGTGCCTTTGAGAAATAGAACTGCATTGCTCAGAGAGAGAAAAATTCCATGTAATTTAAAAAATCCAGGCATATAACCAAATGGTAATTTTTATATTAAAAGTAAATATCATATAACGGGCATGGGACGAATGTCATTGACTCATTTAATGCAGTACTGAAAGTAAAAAGACATATAGTTTTAGAAATCAAGTATTTTTCCAATAAGCTATGAACACACACACAAAAAATACTGAAGTACTAACAAAGGGCAACTACTTACGAAGAACACCAAGTAGATCCTCTGGGCAAATCCGTGTCTTTACATATTCCTCAGCAATTACAAAGTTCCTGACATACAGTAAAAAAGTGTGCATATATGATATTATACAAATTTAATCAAATGTAAATAAAAATGTTTCCTGAGGAAAAATAATGATACGAACTTGGTGACTAAGTCTTCAGCAAGTTTAACCAATTGTTCATCGGAATCAGGAAATATAACTCTAAATGCACGAACTGCCTCCACAAATTCATGAACAGCTGCCTACATTAAGAAACGGGAACAATGATAATTCATCAATCTTATAACATCAGTTACAAGAAAAAAAGATACATACAAATGGAAGTAAAATAGGCTGAATAGAAGGGGAAAAAGTGGAATTGGATTTGAAGAGTAATAATATTTCATTCATGAATTCCCTTGGCCGATTATTTGACATAACCATCCATGTAATCATTACTTGTTTATTTCCTGTTATTGGCCAACTCCTCAACATTCTTGTCCAGCACATGAACATCAACAATTTTAGAGCTACTTGCATAAATACAATTTTACAAATTCATGTATGAGTA